GCTCGGGCGTCAGCCGCCCCTCGTCGCATCTCCGCCCAGCTGCTCGGGTGCCGCGTTCTCAGTCCTGCCGCTCGGACGTCAGCCGCCCCTCGCCGCAGCTCAGCCCAGCTGCTCGGGTGCCGCGATCTCAGCTCAGCCGCTCGGGTGTCGCGACCTCACCCCAGCCGCTCAGGTGTTAGCCGCCCCTCGTCGCAGCTCAGCCCAGCTGCTCAGGTGCCGCGATCTCAGCCTGGCTGCTCGGGTGTCGCGATCTCACCCCAGCCGCTCGGGCGTCAGCAGCGTCTCGTCGCAGCTCAGCCCAGCTGCTCGGGTGCCACGATCTCAGCCCGGCCGCTTGGGTGCCGCGATCTCAGTCCATCCGCTTGGGCATCAGCCGCCTCTCGTCGCAGCTCCGCCCAGCTGCTCGGGTGCCACGTTCTCAGTCCTGCCGCTCGGGCGCCAGCCGCCCCTCGTCGCAGCTCAGCCCAGCTGCTCGGGTGCCGCGATCTCAGCCCAGCCGCTCGGGCGTCAACCGCCTGTCGTCACAGCTCAGCCCAGCTGCTCAGGTGCCGCGATCTCAGCCCAGCTGCTCGGGTGTCGCGATCTCAGCCCAGCCGCTCGGGTGCCGCGATCTCAGCCCAGCCGCTCGGGTGTCATCTGCCTCTCGTCGCAGGTCAGCCCAGCTGCTAAGGTGCCGCGATCTCAGTCCAGCTGCTCGGGTGCCGCGATCTCAGCCCAGCTGCTCGGGTGCCGCGATCTCACCGCAGCCGCTCGGGTGCCGCGATCTCAGCCCAGCCGCCCGGGTGCTGCGATCTCAGCCCAGCCGCTCGGGCGTCAGCTCATCGCAGCTCAGCCCAGGGGCACTGCCCCGCGCGAACTCTGCTGGGCGTGACGGCGCTCACGCTCCGTTAGCCGCGGCAGTCCCTAGTCAGAACTGTGCAGCTGGCTGCACGGCGGCGTTAGCTGACAACTTGCCGAGGTGGATAGCTGTGCTCTCAAGTGTTCTGGCTCACTGACCTGTCGCCAGCCAGCGCCGGTCAAATACGGACGTGTTTACCGACCACTACTCATAGGGAATATCTGGTGCCGAGACACATGGGAAAATCAATAACTTACAGCGTGGTGGGGCTCGTGCTTTCAGTCGATGGGCGACAGTTAAATCAGTTTTATACGGAGCAGCCAACGATTACCGTTGTGTAGCGCTCCGATAGCTGATTTCCAGATGACGCACACAGAATCTGTGACCGATAAGACGTTAAATGTAAAAGATTACCGTGTTCACCCCGGCCTCAGCGGGAAACTATTGCTTTCCCCAATGTCACGCCCCCTTACAACCCCAAACGACCATACACCAATTGCGCACCTTCCACAGCCACATTGCATGCACATCTCAAGCCAGATATAGCTGGGAGCGCCATCGACTGAAAGCACTAGACCCGACGGACGATGCGCCGGAGCTCCATCTCGCCACGGCCAGGTCGCCACGCCGCGCCCCTGCCCGGGACCTCATTAAGGTGACGTCGGAGGCGCCGGACTGCTGCTGGCTCGGTGCTTCCGAGCAGTGCTCCCCCGGTGTCACCACCGGCTGTCCGGTATCCAGTCGCCGGGCGGCTATTTCTGGCGCGGTGTTAGCACGCGGGGTCAAGGCACATCGCTCGGTGGCAGACTAACTGGTCTCCGTCTCTCCCGCGTTACGCCACGCTCGCGGTCGGGACCGACTGATCTCCGTCTCTCCCGCGTTAAGTCACGCTCGCGGCCGGGGCTGACTGGTCTCCGTCTCTCCCGCGTTACGCCACGCTCGCGGCCGGGGCTGACTGGTCTCCGTCTCTCCCGCGTTACGCCACGCTCGCGGCCGGGGCTGACTGGTCTCCGTCTCTCCCGCGTTACGTCACGCTCGCGGCCGGGACCGACTGGTCTCCGTCTCTCCCGCGTTACGCCACGCTCGCGGCCGGGGCTGACTGGTCTCCGTCTCTCCCGCGCCACGGCCCGCTCGTGGGCGGGACCTCTCGCGGTCTCCGTCTCCCCCGTGACTGTCAGCTCTCGTTCGCCGATAGGGCTGTCAGGTCTCAGTCACTGCGGCCACTGCGGGGAGTCGGCCACTGCTTGGACAGCAGCTATTGGCCACGGCCCCAACCTCTCCCGCCCAGTCCCGCGGCTTCCGGCGATCAAAAGGCGGGTGGTTCCCCCGCGCTGACACTGGCACCTGCATCAACGCCAGACTTCAGGCCGGCACCACCGCAGGAGGCTCCGCGCGCCGCTACCCGGACCCGGATCCAAGTGGGGTCCGGTGCTGGAGCCGGCGAGCTCGGTCGGCAAGCCGCACCACTGCGGTCGCTGGCACATCCCCCCCCCCCCCCCCCCCCCCCCCACATGAATCGCGTCTGCATGCAGGCGACGACCAAACGCTTGGCATTTTAACGTGAACGATGACAGTTAGGATGCCGGCGGCTGGTGCTTTGCGAATGAAATCGCGAAGGGTAAAGATGGCGGATGCCTTTTGGGACATTGCATGTCACTTGCAGGTGATTTAACTTCGCCTTTATAGCTTAACCTTCACTACAGAATGCTGTAGTGAAAAGCAAATCATCGCAACGTGCGGAAGAAACAATTGTATGGAATAAGATCCGCTTGGTCCAAAGTCAATCAAGCTAGCCATCAATTGCCCTTCGGCTACAATTTTACGGAGCATGTGTCCCATTTTCCAGGGACATAGCCAACAGCCAAACATCATTCAGTCATTCTAAGGACTACACAACACCTGGCAGCGGCCGAAGAGTTGTGTAGAGACTAACACACTAGACGAGGACAATAGCCCGAACGATGGTTCCACATGCTGTCGCTCTTCGGCTTTCGATACATTTATTTATACTCTGGTGATTTCCGTGAATCCACTTACATTGCTGCGGATAACTGTCGTGACCACCAGTGTTGTTAACAGAGCGCAGCAACGTATTCATACCTTTTGATGCTAAACACTCGTCACATGACGGGGCTGGGTTACATAGCGTAATTTTTGGTCATTTTTTGTGGCTCGATCATTTGGAAGTTGTGGCATACTCTTCGGATCGGTTAAATGCCTTTATTCTTTGCCAGAACCTGCTCTTAACACTAGAATAATTTTGTTACTTTTTGCTCTCAGCATAAGGATAGCAGGGGGCGAGTTCTGAGGGTAGCAAGAGACGAGTTGGCGGCAGCGATGTCTTCTTTGTGACGGTGTTTCAGTCGGTGGTGTTACGAAAGAAGACAAAAGTCAAAAGGGACGACATTTCGGTAGTATGATATCTGTTCGAAATGAAAGTTGCCTTCTTGAATTACAAGCCGCTGCTGCTAGCGTGGAAGTTATTTAGACGTGTCTTTGCGGGGCCCAGTGCCTGGTGTGATAAGAAGGGGTCAAAGCCTCAGGTTTTACCGCATTATGTGATTGTGTGATGCATATAACCGACCTTTTAACTAGGAAACATTGTTCAAGCGAATACACCATTATTATCACGGCATATCAAAAGGGTGTTCGACGTTTCAGAACAGCGGTTTTTGTGACTTGTGGCCACATGCACCGCCTTGGAAGGCCATGTCAAGCCCTTATTTCAGAACACATTTAAGCAATCTTGATTATCCGTTGAAGTAGAGCCTCCTGATTTCATGAGGGTCAGATAAAAGAAATGAAGATCACCCACCCTCTTGACGCGTTACAGTGACTCCTAAAGCCCATGCCTCTCAACAGATAGGCGCAGTTCCGTCATTGGATATGTGAAAAGACAATCTACGAGTAGAACAAACTTTCATGCCAACAACTTTTGCGTGTGCTGGCGTATCTACGGAAAGCACCGTAGAGAACATATCAAAAATTTTCATATATACGTGGTAAATTCAACGGACTCGAGCCTTGAGTACGACATAAGTCGGATGTCGACAACTGGCTTACTTCAGCTGTGTTCACGAATGGTTGATGACCCGATTATGGACAGTGTGTTTTCCATGTGTCATTGATGAACGCACGCGACACACGCACGCGTCTTGGATTCGTAATCTTTTTACTGGAAGATGCACAGCTACAGATGTAATGATAAAGATGGCGTTGGTTTGCGGCACATATCCACACGCACGCGGGCAGCAAATCGACAACGCTAGAACTGGGGGCAGGTAGCCGTGGGAGCCATCTCAATGCAGGCCCGTAGCGGTGGCGTGGCTTTAGTTGTCTCCGTGGTTGTCTTGCACGAAGCGCCTCATTGATGTGCGGCATTTGGCGTGCTCCTGGACAGCCCTTTTTTGACCTGTCTTTTTGCCATTTCGTCACGTGCCGTTTGTCTTTTTAGTATGTAAACGTGTCACTTTTCGCTTTTACGGTGCCTATCAACCGACCAAACGCACACCGACTGATATTTTGGCCCATCCATCAGGCGCTCTTGTAGCGGGAACGGAGGAATCGAGGCTTATGGCCCCGAATGGCTTTTGAAAGTCGACATGAGCCTTTACCGAAGAATGAATAGAATATCCTCGACATGGAGTTCCCCATCTTTTGCATGTCTTAACGCACCTCATCGTGGCACTTCTTGTCAGCTTCCCTTATAACCGTTCATCAGTTCTCTGTCGTCCTCTCAGTAGTCATTGGTTAGTTTAGAGCTTATTCGTTAATCATTCCACCGTAGAAACCTTTTCGAACGTCGTCATTTATCACCCGACAAAATGCATGAACCGCTCTCACATTTCAGCCTGATCTTAAATCCGCGGCGAGACCAAAGTTGGCTGCTGCCTGTCCCAAAGACCTTTTCGGGAGGGCCTGTGGGCGGAATGTGGCATGCGGGGGAGGGGGAGCGAGGAGAGAGCGCCAGCGCAGCCCACGTGTGCCCATGAACGCCACTGGGGCCGCCCACGACGCCCATTCGGTCGCCCAAACTGTTATGACTGGGCGCAAATGACGACCAGCGGGACCCGGCCCGCCTGCAGCCAAGCGCATGTTTATAGCCCCGCAGCCGGCACACTACACGGCCCGTGTATCGACCCGCGCTGCCCCGCCCACTCACCCAGGAGCAACAGCTTGATGTCCTTCGCCGCCTGCATGCCGTCCTCCTTCAGGTTCTTCTCGATCTGCTTGCTGCGCGCCATCGCGGCGCGCTCCTCGGCCGAGAGCGCGCAGCCCATGGCCTGGGGCGGGGGTGCGGCTCACCACCACTGGCACCGCACCGCCTCCGCCCCTCCCGGCACCCGACCGCCGGCTGCCGCCCCCGCCGCCCGCGCCGCTGCTGCTCCGCCTGCAGACGGCCGCTGCGCGTTGCCATGGCGACCGTCCGTCTGGCGCACAAGCGCCGTGACGCAGCCGTCGATCGATGGGTGAGGTGAGCGGCGGCGCGCGATTTTTACGAGGTAACTCTGCGCGCTGGAGGTGGCGCCGCTGCGGTCAGGGAGCGAGTGGGCGTTTGGTGGGAGGACTCGGGAGACTGGCGGCACGCTCCCGACGTCCTCCCCAGAAATGTTGACTTTGAGTGCAGAGGCAGCTGACGTGACTTGTGCCTAGGACCCCGACGGTGCCAAAGAAGTAACCGTCACTCAGACTTTTTTGTCTCATACCGTCTTGACGGTTTGACTGCATCAAACTTTGCGGCCAAAACACATCGACTCCACGATGCCTTGCTTGCCCTGTCTCCAAGGAAATGTGCGGCAACGCGGTTGGGAGTGACGGAAGCGAGGCATAATTGGCGGGGGTGCATTCCTGGATTGTTTTGCGTCAAACCGTCACTCAGAGCTACTGTAGCGATGCAGTGTGTGGCAAATTGCCGCTTGTCCAGTGACAAGGAATAGCGAGACGCGGGACGCGCCGAAGAACGGCTTCGCTAGAATATTAAGCTGGCTGAGGGGGCATGTTTAATAGCAGAAGCTAAGCACAACAAGGTCGCTCGATGCCGGAGAGCCGCGCCGCGCTGGGGACTGTCCGCTTTAGTTCGCACTGAGCCGCTGTAGCGGAGCCTCGCAGTGATAACAAGAAATGTCACGTGATGTCATGGTGCTCGAACGAGGGCAATGTCAAGAGCTAAGGAATCGGTCCGCCCCTCTCACGCGCAAGCGCCATCGGCAGATCTCAAGTGTATGCGCCCTCCGGCCCGGTCGTGTGACGCCTGTGCCCACAAGCATCTGCAGCTTACCCGTACACGCATGCAGCTCTACGTCACAAATTGTGCATCATTTTCATGCTCGGTAGCACGATGGAGTTATTCTTAGGCCAGAAAACACGCCATTGATGAGACGGCGCGGCCGTAGTGCGGCATACACTGAGCGGAAGGGTCTCGTCTTTAGCTGGAATACAACTACGCATGCATATCCCTCAGCACGATCAATACCGTGCTCAGAGTGACTGACAGAGCGAAAAGATAAGACTGCAAAACGGGTGTTCTCTAGCTCGACCAAAATAGCTTTGACCTTGCATTATAAATGGCTATTTGCGCGATGCTTCGAGAACAGATTTTCTTCAACTATTTTAGTTTGCTTTCGTCTATTTGCGGTCAAAGAATTTGTTCTTCAACTTACCGACTCATTTGCTCTCGTCACAAATAGCATGACTGGCATATAACACCCAGGGCGGTACGCAAAAATTCGTGATGAGGCGGGGGCACAGCTAGAATATTTACGGAAATCCTCGGTAAGCGCGCCGTGGGCGTGTGAGGCTCCTTGGAGTTCGTGAGCATCATACGTTCTCGATTGATTTAGTCTTGTCTACTTTGAATTTCAATAGGTAACAATCATTCACGCACATGTGGATGTTTGTTTTATTATGTTACGTTGTGCTGTTATGTTATTGTTTGTGTTCATGTGAATGTTCAACATTCACGAGCGTCGCATCCCGTGAACTTGTGAAATAAAACTGCGCTTAATGCAAAACAACACCACAGCCACTCCACGAAATGAGACGCTACATACGACTGCGGTATTTCAGGATCATGCTTCAGTTGTTTGCAGTTTTCAAAACTAATAATTGCCGAGCATCCACACCGCGTAGCGACATTTAGATCACTGTGCCGCCGTATTCCAGCCCACCGCCACGCCTTCCATTGTGGGTTTCAAAGGACGGCCTTCATGACACCCGCAGAGACCGTCGTGCATCCACCCGCGAAGGTCATGAAATTCGCATCAGCTGACGAAATCGCATGTTATAAGCCGAATGGTGCAAGATTCGAGCGAGCCGAAAAGTGTCGAAGGTAACAAACAGGTGCAATTACTCCCTTATGATTGTCACTTTTTCCACGTCAGGCAGGGGTTTTCAGGACCGGCGACGGTTGTAAACCCGGCCGCGGCGTAGCGCAGTCCACACGTATGGTGAGCTGTTCTCCGTGACCCTGGCCGCGCCCGGCTAAGCGATGTTCCAGGATGCCCAGAACGCCACTCGGCATGGCCGCCATCGGCAGTTGTCGGCTGAGGCTATCGGTGGCAGGCGATTGTTCTCGAAGGTTCTTGAATTATGGTCGGTATGAACAACAGTCGTCGGTAGGAAAATGTGTGATGAGGATTATGTCACATATTCAAACACTTAAACTTCACATTTGACGTGCTATATTAAAGGAGTGGATGAAATCGTTGTAACCCACCGCAATGGTTACCTCCTGGTCACACACAATCGAGGGAGAGGGGTTGGGGTACCTCCCTACATCTTAAGCCTGCATTTTGATCTCATTTCAGAGTCAACGATGGCTTTTGACAGCAGGCCAACCATCAGTGGGATGAGTTTTCACTTAACTTCGCCTTACCCACTCAAGAAAATTCTGGTTTCTGTGAAGCTGAACGCCAGCGTGATTATGTGGAGACCTGATTTGGCATCAAATCTGAAACGCACGAAACATAGGATAAGCAGAAGTGAAACTACATGGTTTGCTACCAGGGCTGTCAAATTAGCCGTCACTGTTTACCACGGATGCGTGGTTGTGCCATCATAATATAGCGTTCGTCAATTCACGTGTGTGGTTATTCATGATTTGGTCTCATGAGGTAAAATTCACAAACGTAAAATGAGAAATTGGTTCATGATGACGAAACAATGGGGCAAAAACGTTTCCGGAGTCGTTCTGGCGCGGTATTTTGACCGCCACGACAGCAAACAATGGGTTTCGCCCCCGCTTATACTAATTTTTGTTAACACGCGCCCGGGTTGCCGGTTAGAGACCGCTCGCTCGAGTAGGGGTAAATTTGACCCTCCTGAGATATCAGAAAGTAAAGGCTAGAGGCACCAAATTTATAGGGTGTGTTGGGTGGGGCGACGCGCACGAGCTTTCCAGCTATCGCCAGTTCTCCCCTCTATCCCACTTGTCTGAAACTACTGACATAATTGTCTGTGATTGTCAGAACTCGGCCGGATTCCCTCAGCTACCGCCGCCGACCTCCTCAAAGCCTTCGACATCGTTGACCATAGCGTCCTCATAAACAAGCTGGGATGGTACGGAACGACCCAATATGATTCCACAGCTACCTAGACGGCCGGAGGCGGCTGGTGAGAGAAGGTGCGGCGACTCTGCCGGTCCGTTTAGGGGTGCCCCAGGGGTCTATCGCCGGGCCGATCTTCTTCGGCCCGTTAAAAGATAACCTTCACCATCACTAATTGGGCTGTCGAGTGATAGCATACGCTGACGACACCCAGCTGCTTGATCACTCACCGCCCGACCCTCAACGTCTAGAATCACTGAACGTCGTGTTGAAAGGTCTTTGGACGCATTACGTCGCTGGCTCAGGTTGAATTCACTCAAAATGAACCCAGAAAAACAGATTTCACTTTTATCGGGACCAATCAAAGCATCAACAAAGCTAAATACTACTAAGTATAGCTGGGTCGGTGACCAAACCCACGTCGTCTATGCGACATCTGGGTGTGACCATCGACCCATGCATGTCCTGGGACATTCACATCGGCCACATCGTCAAAAGGTGCAACGCCCCTCTGATAGCACTGCATCGGTTCAGCCCCTTTTTACCCAGAAAATGTCAAAATTGACGATCAAAACGCACGTATTTCCCACGTTCTATGCTGCATCTCCGTGTGGGGCGAAACAACAAAGAATCAGCTGGCCCGATTAATAATATTATAAACTTCGGCGCTTGAATCGCAACAGGCTTGCAGCGTCGACTATTCGTCGACGACTATTGCCGCTATTTCATCCTTGGTGTATTTGCTTTAATTCCGATCTGCTTTTTTATATTTTATATATGATGATGCTAATCCTGAAGAGCCATACTGCCTGGATGGGTTAGAGATTCAATGCAATGCAACACCATGCTAGCCAGGTCAATGCACCTGTTGAATGCGTGCACGGAGGACCGGAGACGTAGTCAAGGAGAGCGCCAACGGCCCGTGCCCACAGGAATTCGGTCCAAATTCGTAAGATTTGGAGAAAGGAAGTTTTATTAGCCTGTTGTAGTAGCCAAACTAAACTTTCGAAATTCCGGATACACTCATGATTCATTTAAAAAAGAAACGAACGTCTCTCGGGTTGAGGCTCAGTCTTTTGGCCTGGCCTGCTCTGCTCCGCCCTCTATGTTGTACTGTTCTGCTCCGTCCTCTATCCTGACCTGCTCTTCTCCGTCCTCTGTGCTGGCCTGTTCTGCTCCGGCCTCTGTCGTGCCCTGCTCTGTACCGTCCTCTGTGCTGTCCTGTTCCGCTCCGTCCTCTATCCTGTGCTGCTCTACTCCGTCCTCTGTGCTGTCCTGTTCTGCTCCAGCCTCTGTCCTGCCCTGCTCTGTACCGTCCTCTGTGCTGTCCTGTTCTGCTCCGTCCTCTACTCTGTACTGCTCTACTCCGTCCTCTGTGCTGTCCTGTTCTGCTCCAGCCTCTGTCCTGCCCTGTTCTGTACCGTCCTCTGTGCTGTCCTGTTCCGCTCCGGCCTCTATCCTGTCCTGCTCTACTCCGTCCTCTGTGCTGTCCTGTTCTGCTCCGGCCTCTGTCCTGCCCTGCTCTGTACCGTCCTCTGTGCTGTCCTGTTCCGCTCCGGCCTCTATCCTGTCCTGCTCTTCTCCGTCCTCTGTGCTGTCCTGTTCTGCCCCGGCCTCTGTCCCGCCCTGCTCTGTATCGTCCGTCGCGTCCGGTACTCCGTACCGAGCCGTCCCGCGCCCCGACCTGCTAGCATCCTAGTGCTGAGGCGTCGTTATTGATTTCCTTGCGGGTGCCCTGGTCAGGGGCGTAGTTTTCTTTTTATTTGGGGAGGGAGCTTCAGCTTTTGCCCAGCTTGGGC